TCCTGTATCAGAAAGCACTTTAGCCTTTATTACCACATTGAGAGAGCTCCTCAATATTTTGAAAATACAAAAAATTTTTCATGAAAAAGTAAGGGGATTAGAGCAATAGGAGGTGTTCCCAGCAAATTATTAAGAGTGTACAAAACCACCTGGTTGGGAGAAAGTAAGTCCCGCTTTTCTACTCGGTTATCCATATCACTGTGCAGCAGCATCAGTACTGAGAGCAGCTGAAGAGGGGCTAGGAATGTAAAAGACTTCATCTTTGGAGGGTTTTGTTCGGAAGTTGATGGTTATCCATATCACTGTGCAGCAGCATCAGTACTGAGAGCAGCTGAAGATGGGCTAGGAATGTAAAAGACTTCATCTTTGGAGGGTTTTGTTCGGAAGTTGAAACCACGTTCAGAAGTGGAGTTGTCTATTTCTGCAACGCTATTTACTATTTTAGGGTACTTTTCCAAACACTGGGGCCAGGATCATGGTGTTCACTGGAGGCCCCCCAACCCAAGGACCTGGCATGGTGGTTGGAGACGAATTGAAGACTCCTATTCGTTCCTGGCATGATATTGAGAAAGATAATGCACGGTTCATGAAAAAGGCAACCAAAGTAGGTACCCTTGGATGTGAGCTGTAATTGTGGCAACAAGTGCCAGGTATGGGCTGCTCTGGCGTGAAAAGCAGCTACTTGCTCTGGTCTTAGAGTCATGGCTGACAGGTGCTCTTGCAGTGATTCTCTTCCAGATCAGCTACTATTAACTTACTGTCCCATCTTTTGACTTTAGTTAGAATGGGTGGCTTTAAAGTGTTTATAAATGCTGTATTTTGGGGGGAAGTTTTATAGAAAATGATCCCCATGTTCCTACACTTGATTACATCCTTTGGTATATTAAGGCATACCTTGGGAATTAAGTTTCTGTTTCCTAAAAATAGTTTTTCTTTCTTTACAGCACTATGAGATGCTTGCCAGTAGAACTGCTGCAAATGGTCACTGTATTGATATTTATGCTTGTGCCCTTGATCAAACTGGACTTTTGGAGATGAAATGTTGTCCAAATCTTACTGGGTATGTTGACATTGAACACCAGGGAAAGTTTATTTATTTGTTTGCTTGTTTGGGTCTTGACAGAGTCTCCCTGTAGCCCCCGCTGTCCTGGAACTCACTACATAGACCAGGCTGGCCTTGAACTCACAGAGATCTGCCTGCCTCTGCTTCCGAGTACTGGGATTAAAGGCATGCGTCACCACGCCCAGCTATTTATTTTTTAATATTTTATTTATTATTTTTATTTTATGTGTATGAGTGTTTTGCCTGCATGTATGGGAGTACACCCGTGTCGTGCAATGCTGCATGCAAAGAGGGCTTTGGATTCCCCTGGATGGTTTGTAGCCAGCATGTGGGTGCTGGGAATCAAACCCGGGTCCTCTGCAAAAGCAGTTAGCACTCTTAACAGCTGAGACATCTCTCCAGTCCCAGGATTTATTTTTTGTAGTCCAGAAACTTAATATCAAACTTTACTTTCTTACAAATTCATGGTCAGATAGTGA